CCGAATTACATTAACATGTTCCTGAAATGTTCGAGTGTACACAATCACATCGTCTATAAAGTTATCCACACACTGCATTCCGTCTAAGAGCTTACGCATCAGGCGACTGAAACTTGCGGAAGCGTTTATCAAGCCAAAGGGCATCACCCTGAATTGAAACAAACCAAGTGGCGTTTGGAAAGCGGTGATCTCCTTCGCTGCATCATCCAAAGGTAACTGCCAGTATCCCTTAGATAGATCAAATTTGGACACACATTTACAGCCAGATAATTGTACATAAATATCATCAGCACTTGGAATGGTTTCTGCATCGAAAACAGTTACTTTATTAATTGCACGAAAATCGATACAAAACCTGTTCGTACCGTCCTTCTTTTTCACGATGACTATCGGGGAACTGTATGGACTCGTTGAAGGCTCGATCACATCGGCTTCCACCATCTTCCTTACCTCGTCACAAACAACGTCTTTTGAAGTAAACGGCAAAGGATAAGGTTTGGTGCGAATAGGCTGGTCACTAGTCAACTTGATATGATGAACTCCGAGATTCGTCAAACCAGGTACATCTGATAAAACATCTGAAAAATCTTCTAGTAATGTCTTGACTTCTGCTTTTTCATTCTCAGTTAGCTCATCACTTACTTTCACATCTGCCGGTCCCTCTTTTTTCGTTTCTCCTAGAGAATCACACAACAGCTCATCGTCGCTCTCTCCATCATCATCTAGATCGAGTACTGCGGCGCCTACAACACCTAGAACACCTGTCTCATCATTACTCTCGTTTGCTCTGTCAATGTACAACTTCAACATATTTGCATGAAATGTTTTGATTTTTCCATTCACGTTAATTCTGTAATCAACTTTTCCTAGTCTCTCTATAATTTCATATGGACCTTTCCATTGCATTTGTAATTTGTTACTGGCAGTTGGTAAAAGAATAAGAACTTTCTCACCTTTTGACATTTGTCTGTTCCGTGCTCCCTTGTTATAATACTTCCGGTATTTCTCTGACGACTTCTGTAGATTCTCTCTCGCTAATCTGCACGTAGCTTCTAGTCGTTCCTTCAAATCAACAACATACTGGTATGTAGTTCTAACCTCTGAATCTGCTACTTCTTTAGTCCACAACTCCCTCAAAATCTTCATAGGTCCTCTAACTTCGTGTCCGTAAACCAGTTCAAACGGTGAGAATCCTAAACTCTCCTGTGGTGCATCACGGTAAGCAAACAATGAGGCTGATAGATACTTATCCCAATCAGTAGGACGTTCCGCACATAACCGTCGGAGTATCTGTTTCAATGTACCGTTGAACCGCTCGACCAGTCCATTGCACATGGGGTGGTACGGTGTCGTTGTTAACTGTCGTATAGAAAGTAAACGACTAACCTCTGTCATCAGCTCGGATGTAAATTGTGACCCCATATCCGTGAGCATTTCCTTCGGTACTCCTACTCTACAAAATACATCTACCAGAGCCTCAGCGACTCGTTCAGTGTCAATTCCTTTTAAAGCAATTGCCTCTGGGTAACGGGTAGCAAAGTCAACAATAGTCAAAATGTAACGATTACCCTTACTGGTTGCTGGCTGGATAGGTCCTACCAAATCGACAGCTACACGTCTGAACGGTACCTCAATGATAGGCATATCTCCGAGTGGTACCTTTGTAGTCCTGCCTTTCGGAGTAGTACGTTGACAGATGTCGCATGATCTGCAGAATCGACGTACGTCCGCTTGAACTCCCGGCCAATAAAATTCTGCAAGGACTTTGCTGGCTGTCCTGGAAGTACCTAGGTGACCTGTCATAATAGATTCATGAGCAAGCGAAAGAACTTTAGTCCTATATTTCTTTGGAACAACTAGCTGTGTAAAACGTTTACCATTCTGATGTTTATCTGACTGGAAGACACGATAAATGATACCTTTTTTACTAATGTAAGATACCTTGGAGTCGTCGTCTTGTCCTACCAAAGAGCGTATCTTGGCTAACGTCTCGTCTTTCTCCTGTGCTGCCTTGATGTCGTCAGGACATATCTCAGCGTCAATAATGTCTGGAACATGAAGAGATTTAGTCTTCTTACCTTCCTTTTGAGCTTGTTGCCTTGTCACTACTGCATGCGCTTGATAAGGTGTCCAGTTTCTATCCGGATCCTTTGGATCTCTTGCGTTGGGGATGTTCCCTATGATCAAGGAATACAATGGATTTTCTAAACACCAAGCGTCTATTTCACCCACAAAGTAAGGAGTGTCTATTTTCACTCGCGCAACAGGTGCTTGAATTCTAGATCCGTCCGCCAGAACACAAATTCGATGATTTCCCGTAAGCTGAACATCATCTATCAAATCCCTACGAACTACAACACCGTTACAACCAGTGTCTCTAAGCACTGTCACAAAATGTTCATTTAACTTGCCCTTACAGGTAGGCATATCTTCAAGAGATGCACTAACATTACACGATGAAGTGTTTACAAGGTCCATTGAATTTGACGCCATCGAAAATGTTGATGTGTTTGTAAAGGAAGTAAAAGTTCCACACTTGCCTTGTAATTCTGAGTTCTTTGTCGTAGATTCCTTTTCTGTACGATCGACGACAACATTCAATGAGTTCCGGTTCTTCTGAGTCTGGTGGCACTGAGATGCTATGTGGCCCAGTCTGTCACACTTGAAGCAACGAACTTCTTTCTTCATTGGAGTTTTCATGGGTTGAAACTTCAATCCTGGCTTCTGATCTCGCTGTTCCTGTTCTCTCGATGCCTGACTTTTTCCTGCAGAGTTCTCTTTCTTGCTAAAATGAACTAATGTCTGAATGTTAACATGCCTTGCCTCTCTAAACTGATCTGCTAAATCACACATTTCTCTGATGTTTTTCGGTATGCGTTCTTTCAAAAACAATGTCAATTCTTTGTTACACATGAACAGAAACTGATCTCTGAGTATCATATCGTAGAGGCCATCAAAAGTCTTGTTAACTCGACCAAGTTCAATCCACCTATCGAGATAACTACCGAGACGAACAACAAACTGTGAAAAAGTTTCCCCTACCTCAGGTCTGCTCTTACGGAACTTTTGACGAAATCCATCCTCCGTCTTTTCAAACCTTTTTAGTAACGCCGTCTTCAAAGCATCATAGTCCAACGCTTTCTCCTGCGGCAACAGTGCATATACATCCAGTGCACGACCTCTGAGTAGTGCGCTCAAGTTAACAGCCCAACTGTCAAACTTCCATTTCTGTGCTGCAGCGTACCTTTCAAAACGTCTCAAATAAGAATCAATATCATCCTTAACTTCATCGAATACAGGCATTTTTGGAAACTTTGCATTACTAGGATTTTCTGATTTCGTTTCTGACTCCTTTACAGCTAACTTTTGCTCTAAGGTTTGAATAGTTTGCATGAATTTACTCTCAATCTCTTCCATACCTTTCTTTTCCTGTAGTTTGAGTTTCTCAATTTCAAGTGCTTCTCTACTGAGATGATACTCCCTGTCCTGCTTCTCTTTCTCCCTTTCCGCCGCTCGTAGCTCACGCTGATGTGCCTGTTGTTGCTGTATAAACTGCTGCAAGTCCGCACCAGTCAAGTTCAGACTCTGTCCATATTCTGCAAGTTCTTTCAATGTCGACATTGTAATAAAACTTAACACTAACTGACTAAATATGAAAAATATTACTACAATCCAGTAAAACAACATTGATTTTCAAAACAAAAATGAAATGTGAAAAATCTTTCTCAAAAATGTGTATACTAGTATCTCAACAGATAAATTAAGTATACAAACTCAATTCATACGAAACAAAGCAACGGTAACCTAGCTTTCTCCATTTGGGGCTCCATCAATAAACCAAGTACTCACACCCTGAGACTGTCAAAAATCTACAAACTCTTTGACTGCAAAATACAACAAAAATGATTAAAGAAAAAAAAACATAAGTGTAATATACAAAAATACTCCTGACTGAACAGACTAATCCCACTTCTGACACCAATTTGTCACGACAGCCGTCGTGCTCTGTCCAGTCAGATATAACAAGATTTTTTTTTCTATTTACAATTTTTTTTTATCTATAAATAAAATCAATAAAAACAATATTTACAACATATTTTTACAGCTATTATTTACAATACACAGAAATTAAAGTCTCTATTAATCCTCAATATCGTTGACTCTAAACCACGTCTATCCAGACACGACCCGTTTCACGACGGACTCCCGCCAACTGGCTCCCAGTGGGTATCCCGGTCTGGTAAGTTCATTGCCAACACACACATGGATAGATTAACATTGGATAACATCAGGAACCTTTGAATTAAATAACATTTTTTTAAGTCACAAGCCACGTATACAAAAGGAAAACTCAAGTCACCATTGACTACAATTGCACTTATGGCACACCATACAATCAGTCCCGGTAATTTTAACCGAACACTATTATAATAAGAAAAACGTTAAGAATACACAACATCTTAACAAAAGTGGTTTTAACTATTAAACCCACAACACCGACTTTATAAGCGGCAAAACAAAATAGCCTACGTGCGTATATAACTCAGTACATTGCACAAAAATAGAACAATAAACGCATGAGTAACTCTACCCAGCAAAACCTGTATACGTAAATAGTAACAAAAACATTAATTAACTCAAGTTCTTAAATAGTTTTACGTTTTAAATTTATTACTCAAAAACTTACATATGAAATAAAAAACAAACTTACCCCTTTGGAGAAATGGTTACCGTTGAAAGAAAAAATTTAGCCACTCATCTTGGACTGTATGTCAACCATTTAAAAGCTATGAAAACGTGGACCCTGGTTACCTGGTCAGCTATGCAGCGATTTAAATACCCCAAAATACAATAGGTCGTAACTGACCAATACCTGCAAAACTTAACTGAGGTTCAATAAGGTAACAAAAGTATAGAGGTCCAGTAAAGGGTAAATAAAATAAAAACCATAAACATAATGTAAATGCAATTAAAATTAAATATTGATTGTGACAATGTGTAAAAGTAGTTTTTACGAATCTTGTTTTTGCTTAACCAAGAATCCATTTTACCATCATGCATTAGGTGATGCAGTCTACTTAATAACCCAGTAACAGTTCCTTGCAAGGATGACGTTTGTTGCACTTATAAGTTGCGTTTATTTTCTTTTCCTGGAGTGTTATCCTGGATTTTGTAAAATTTCAGAAAGAGATAGCTTATACCGGGAACTTTCAGTAATGCGTGACAAGCACAGAATTTCCAACATCATTTTTACAGAGAAGAAAAACTCAAAAATTCATTGCGGGATTCAGTGTGGCTTATTTATGTGCCAAAGTTTTTCTTTCAATTCAAAAATGGGTACCTGTTGTGGATATGACGTCACAATCACGGATACAACGTCAACAATTCTGGAAATTGGTTGGAAGACCTACAACAATATTACAGGTATACTATTTTTCTTCTTTTGCTTTTGTAGTTATGATTTTTAAAATCTACGTCATTTCGGTATGTTCCAAAGTGGGGCGGTCACCTGAAAAACAAAATCAGTAGGAACACGCCATGCAGTGTGTGTGATATCCTTCTTCTCTTCAAAAAGCATACATTCAACAATAACGCAGAAAATTCATTTACTTATTCATTTTATTTTTTGTATTATCAATATTATATTATTATTATTATTATTAATATTTATTTATATTAAATGTATTTATTTAGTTTTCCATTTCTTTTTTTTTGTTTGTTTGTTTTTTTTTTGTATAGAAAAAAACATGTATTCAATTAGCAGAAAGGGGAGGGAAAATTAATTTTAATTTTTCATTTCAAATATTACGAAAGCCTAGAAGGGTCAAATATGGAAAATGAAAAAAAAAATTAAAAAGTCGTTATTACGAGATAAAAAGTCGTTATTACGAGATAAAAAGTCGTTATTACGAGATAAAAAGTCGTTATAACGAGATAAAAAGTCGTTATTACGAGATAAAAAGTCGTAATTACGTAATAACGAGATAAAAAGTCGTTATTACGACTTAAGAAAGTCATAATAACGAGATAAAAAGTCGTTATTACGAGATACAAAGTCGTTATTACGACTTAATAAATCGTTAAAAAGGAGATAAAAAGTCGTTATTACGACTTTAAAAAGTCGTTATTACGAGATAAAAAGTCGTAATTACGACTTCATAAAGTCGTAATAACGAGATAAAAAGTCGTTAAGTTTACCACAAAGTTAATTTGTAAAATTTGACCTTAAGGGCCCTTTTCTCATGACGACAGTCAGTTTATGGCCACAGTAATGCTGCATAAGAGGAGAGGGAGTTTATGTGATTTTTTTTTTTAATTAATTAACTCCTTTGTCACTTCACACTTTTTAAAAAGCATTGTAAATTAATATTTCATCAACCAACATTTAAAGAAACTCGCGTGTTTGGAAATTATACCATTGAGACTCTTCTATATGTCGTGTAATGACATAAGAATAAAAGAAATACTCTGAAAGAACTATGATTAATCCAGCACGCAATATGGCAAGTATACGTGTAAAACCAGTATGACAAATAAAAGTTTACTATCCTCTACAAAATTTTGAATGTCATACTGTATATAAATTTCAATTGAAAAATTCAAAATTTTGCTGAAGACATTACGCTCCAATGTTATAACAATACGCAGGTAAAAATCTCTTGCTAATTAAATTTTTATCTAGGTATTGTTTTGCTTTTCAAGGTTAAGTAACACATTAATTAAAATGATTGGTTACATCTGATTTTGTACTTTAATGTTCGCCTGTGACGATGTATTAATGTCGACACAATGATCACTAACGCCGCAATATTCCCGTTCCCGGAGGCTGATTTTTACTAGGGCCCGGATTATAGAAAGCTTATGAAATATGTCTGACATTTACTGTTGTTTTTCATAATATCAAGACCAAATTTCCTCTTGTTTTTGCATTTACACCCCCTTTGAATTGAAAATTGTTTTTAATTTTCCCCGGGGAAGAAAATTGTGTTGGTTTTGTATTCATAAAGTGAGTCAAGTATGTACATAAACTATGCTCTATTAATAGACATTTCCACTGATGTACACAACATTAACAACATTATCGTATCAGTATTTTGTTCTTGGATATTTGTTTTTTTTTTATCATTCGTGGCGAAGACTGTATAGAGGGTGCTCTGCACGTCTTTGTCCGTTTTTCTTATGGTACATAACGAGAAAAGAACATAGAATGACCCCATGTTTCGACAGAAGTTAATAGGTATATTATTAGAGGTCATAATCTTCACAAAGGTCATTTAAGGCAGGTCAAGGTCAAATGGACAGGAAGTGTAATTCTTATATGTTCCATACCCTCTGTAATGAAGAAATATGACGCTTATACTTCAGTCTTGGCACAGAATTTGCCATGATCAGAGGTTGTTTTATGACCTTGAACAAGAGTCAAGGACAATTATTTGAATTGCAATATCTGCGTCTGATCAATAAATCAGATGCTATCGGAAAATACAGAAGTGTTTCAAGAACCTGGCCCATGGCAATGTTATTCTACAAAAAGTCTATGTCAGGCAAAAAGAGGCTTTTAAATCACATCACTCCCTGACAAATTTTAGATAAATGAAACATATTAAATGTTCTCCAAATTAAATCCACAATTTCAACAATTCCATTTATTATAATGTATTGATAATTTGGACCCACTCAGGAGGCATTGGGATGTTTACTCCTCAATGGCACCTGATCCGACCTCTTACGTCTTTACAGAGGTCTGTGTTTGTTATGCTCCCGATCTGTACTGTTTCTGAGGACTTTTGAGTTTGATCACTGTGAATCTCGACATAAATATATTAACTTATCAAGAAACTAATTGCTATTAATTAAAGCTATGTGTTTTACAATTTAAAAAAAAAAACCTTTCGTAGAGATTTATGGCACCACCCTAGCCCCATAGGCCATGATTTGAGAAAATCACTTCTTTATCCAAGTAAAGGGAATTGACCACAATTTGTAGCCCCAAACTTAGCCACAGGGACCATGACTCGAAAACTCCATTCAATGAGGATAATATTAAATCAATATTTTTATATTCTTGAAGAAGAGAAATTAATGTACATGTGCATGCATCTCTAAGTAAAACAAGATGTGTGTGTGAAACACTGATGCCCCCATAGCGAAGATTAAGCTTTCTAAAATGCATTTCTCAAATATGTTGGTACCTAAAGTAAGGCCTTTTCACAAGAAATACAAATGCGAAATATAAAACCCTAGCACCATCTGTTCAAAGGATATGACCAAGCTTAACGTTTTTAAAGGTAAGACAAACCCCGGGGTCAAGGTTGTTTGTTTCTAAAGAAAGACCTTGTCTCAAAGATTACATATGGGAAGTATGAAAGCACTGGTCCTTACCGTTCAAAAGTTATGGCCAAGCAAACGCCAAGGTCAAGGTCAAAGGGTCAAAGTTGTTGATAGCCAATGAAAGGTCTTTTCACAAGTATTAAATATGTGAAGTATGAAAGCCCTAGCCCTTACCGTTCAAAAGTTATGGCCAAGGTTAAAGTTTTTTCGTAAGTACATGTACATAAATCTCCAAGGTCATGGTCAAAAGGTCCAAATTGTTGGTTTCAATGAAAGGTATTGCCCCAAGGAATTGGAATATGAAAGTCCTAGTATCTACCGTTTAAAAATAAGGGCCAAAGTAAAATTTTTGATTTTTGTGTAAATATGGGTCAAACTCCAAGGTCAAGGTCAAAGGGTCAAGGTTCTTGATATCAAATGAAAGGTTAAAAATATGAAGTATGAAAGCCCTAGTCCTAACCCTTGAAAAATTATGGTCAAGATTGTAATTCAAAAGTAGGTCAAACTCTAAGGTCAAGGTCAAAGGGTCAAACTTATTGGTATCAAATGAAAATGTTCTTTTACATGGAAGTATAAAAGCCCTATCCTTTACCGTTCAAAAGTTATGGTCAAGGTTAAAGTTTTTTTTATAAGTACATAAATCTCTAATCTCTAAGGTCAAACGGTCAAAGTTGTTGGTACTCAATGAAAGGTCTTGCCACAAAAAAATACATATATGAAGTATAAAAGTCCTGGTATCTACTATTCAAAAGATATGACCAAAGTAAAAGTTTGGAATTTTTGTGTAAAAGTGGGTCAAGAGGTCAAAAGGTCAAATTTGGTGGTACCCAATGAAAGGTCTTGTCACAAGGAATACACATGTGAAATATGAAAGTCATAGCTCCACTAGATCAAAAATTATGGGCAAGGTTAAATTTTTTTGCGGACAAACAGACAGAGAGACAGCTAGACAGACAGAGAGACAGACAGACAGACGGACGGACACGACAAAAACTATATACCCCCGAAACTTCGTTTACGGGGGCATAAAAAAGAGATCTTATTCCTAACCAGGTGAACAACACGACTGACAGACATATAATACATTTGGCTAAAAAACCATTTTAAAATTGTTTTTGACTGAATGATGCGTCACGACTCCCCTTGATTCGTAGTCTTCTGAATTTTACAGAAAAAAGGAGTTTTACAATTTTTACGATTTGTAACTTTTTTAAAATCCGTATCAAAAACGTACATTTTAAGGTAGATTTTCCTCTTGTTAATGGGGAGCGAAAATTCCTGCAAGTCGAGCTCAAATACTAGTAAATAAAGCTATATATATCTCAATTTTCCCTTTCCGTTTTGGCAAATGGAACAAACTTTCACCATTGAGAAAATTGAGAATGTAAAAAAAAGAATGGAAAGCACAGAACATGTATTTAGGTTTGAACTGGATTAAAACTTTATGCCATCTTATACAGCCAGAAAAATCATTGCTAAATACCTCCAAAAATTATTGAATGTTGACTGGATGTCATTAATCTCTCGAAACATATTTGCCATTATATCTTAACAACAGTGTAATTTAATTAATTATGTAAATAACTTCAGTTTCTCAACATCAGCTATTTAAATCACAGTACTCAACTGCTCACCCATAAAATCAGCCGTGGTTGTATCGGCTATGGGAATCAGGGATATCATATGAAAAAATTCGCCCAATGGATCAAACACTGTACATAGCTGCAGATACCAATGCTGTGTTTCAGCTATTTCTATACACGATCCAATTTTCTCAATTCAGGCACGTAGTATCGGGATGGGGATGGGGGGTGCCTGTCCTACCCTTTGTTCTAGACGTGAGTTTTTTTTTTTCTGTTGAAGATCTTCATTGAAAGTCCGGTTGCCCCCCCTTTGTTTCTTAACTGAATAAGGGTGAAGTACATGTAGTATGTCTGAGTGAAAAAAAGGTACTGAAGGAACTTGGACTCACTCCCCCACCACGAAATAGGATTTTTGTGTTTTGACAATTTTTTTTTCAGGTAAGTTGACCCCCCCCCCCTTTCTCACTTTCAAAAAACGATGCTATACGTCACAACAATTCATCAGCAACGTTTTGTAAAACTATACTTAAAACTATTACACTTTTTACAGCTTATTCAACGATCACAGAGCCAGTGACATTACCACTCACCACTGTCCTACCAACCACCACCAGTGTGGCTCACACAACGGAACAACTTACCACCAGTGTGGCTCACATGTCAACGGAACCACCTACCACCACTGTTACGACAACAACTACAACCACTACCATAGCCAGCACCGTGCCACAACCTTCGTGTAATTTTTTTTTTTGGAAATTTCAAACTTTAAAAAGTTTCACATTCAAAAGGTGTATTAGAATTTGATTTCCGGAGATAAGTAAAAGGGGTCTTGCAATCTGCCTTGATGTTACTATATTAGTATTAATTAATTAATTCACATACTCATTTTGCACCATTAGCATTTAGCAAGTAATTCTCTAAATGCATATAGTTCTCTAAATGCATGAAATGCAGTCATTTAATCAGAAATTATTCATTGTGCCCAAAGATAAAGGTCATGCTCTGCTTGCGTCTCTCTCCCCTGCCATCCCCCACCCCCAACACAAATAGACGATTGGTGATTAACAAAAAAGTCTTCATAACAAATCCATATAAACTGATTAAATTAATTAAGTAAATGCAATCTTAAAGATAATAGTTTGAAAGATAAAATTTATTTTTCCATTTAACAAAATCTCCGTTAATATTCATAATTGTAAATTCGATGTATATAGTTGCTCTCAGCTCTGAGAATCTGCCGAAAGTTCTATTTCTATAATCTAAATTAATACAAATGAAGTAAATACACGCGTCTTTTTCATTAACATAAAAATTCATTTGACATTTACAAGAAGCCTGAACAGCATTTGCTGTTAAGGTTTCAAATGGCTGAATTAGCACCAAAGACAAAAACCAAGACAGGAATAAAATGTTCTGTAAATGATAATACGTTTTTATTACTTTTACTTGTAGTTTAAATCCTTTTAGATTATTTAGATTTCGTAACACCACATTCATGGCTTTCAGAGAACAATACTTCAATGTATAAAATCAACATTATCTAAGTTTCAGCCTTTGGATTAGATTGCTTTTCAATCGATTTTATCATCTTTACACCTCCGTGTGAAACAGCGCCCTAGACAAGCACGTAGCATCGTTTTTCAAGGAGGTGGGAGTTTGAGGGCGTAGCATCGTTTTTCAGGGGAACAGCGAAAAAATGTTGATATGCCAAAGATGAAATTGGTTTAAAAACTGCTTATTGTAACGGGGCGGGGCGGGGTGAGATAGGGGTTGCTCATTTTGTCAGGGAAAAAAACGTCACAATAATGTGACGTAAGAGGTTTTGACCGAATACCCCTAACGTTATTACAAGTTTATCAATATGGAGAAAGGTTAAATAAAACATCAAGTGCCTCGGCTGGCCATGTACTTTGCTTGGGTATTATTGATATTGACCCTTTGTCATTGACCTTTTAGTCTGACCCACTTTAAAAAAAAAAAGATTTAACCTTGGTCACAACTTTTGAAACGGTTGTTTCTTTGGCTTACATATTTCACAGACCTTTATATTAATTGATACTCCTTTCTTTGGAAAACAACATTTTTGATCGCTTGATCTTCGAGTTGAACTTTAACCTTACAGTTGCATTATGCTGTCATATAGGGGAAGCAGTGTTTCACGAATTAGATCTTGTAATAATATCATTTTCTTTTCAGGCACATCTTGCCCTTCAGGTTACACTTGCAAACTTGGACTTGTTTTCTGCTACAAATATTTCGGGACAAGAAAGAGCCGCGTGGATGCCGAGTCCTCCTGTGCCAGCGAGGGGGCGGAACTCGTCATAATTGACAATGCTGATAAAGACAACGAAATTCTGTCATACATAAGTAAGTCCGTTTAATCAAAATTAGATCTTCCATCGACGCTAGTCCGAAATATCTGACGTTTAGCAGACCTTTTTACGATTTTGATATTTTACGTGCCGCGGTTTTCCTGGCAAGTAAAATATCAAAACCGTTAAAAAAATTTATACCTGGAAAAGGTCAGATATTTCGAACTAATTGTCACGAAAATTTAGAAATTGAGGAGACTTAAATAAAACCTGGAGCGCATCCTGTAGATTCAAATGAGGCATCGACGTAATCCCAAAAGAGATAAAAAATAACGATATTGAAGTTATCAAGAAAATTGGAAATTTTTTTTTTCTAGAGAAGATTTATTTGCATGCCATGCTCTACAAAATGATCTTTCTGTGAATTCTTACAGTGCAGTTATTTATAATTGTTTTAAGACTCGAGCGCTAATTAACACATTTCAATGAACACATGAAAGTGTTAAGATAAAAAGACAAAATATATTTATGAACAAAGAATAATTGCCAGAAAACCATTCAGCTATATCACTGAGGGCATGCAGGCAGGAATGACCATGGGAAATATTTATGGACTGGGAAATATATATTTAATATGTTAAAACAGAAAACAAACAAACAACAAAAGATTCACATTGTCTAAAATGAATATAAACCTTGATTAATAATGTGTAATTAAGGATGACGTTTACTCAGGTTTCAGAAATCAGAAAGAAAATTTTATAAAGTATAATATGTCAAATCAAAAATTGTTCTAAATGGATAAAATAACCAAGTTTCATCTCAATATTAATTTTAAAATTTGATATTTTATTATTTGAAGAAAATATACAGGAACAAAAGTCAATGTATGGTATTGCAGAGGAAATTCGAACTAAATTTTTCATTTTTCATTTTTTGATAAAATTTTTATTTGTTGCAATATTAATCACAAAGTAAAGGTTACATCTATTTTAAGACATCATTTTGCAAATATTTTATGCGTTAAACATAAATTATTTCAATTAATTGAATTCAATGAAATAAAGAAATTCAAAAATATGTACAAAAAGCATTCCAGACAACATATCTCAATAATTTGATCATTGACCCAATATAATATTAATACCAAGAGAATAAGGGTAATGAAAGTAACCTGGTGCTATAAATAATATACAGTTCTTATCAGTCAGATTTTTGTAATATTCGATTAAAAATGGGGAAAAAATATAAATATGACAGAGGAAATTAGGACTGTCATAACTATCACGTTTATGGCCCAAACTCTAATAATTTCTTTATAAGAAGCAATGCTGTTCCATTGCTATAATATATATATTGTAATATTTTGTGAGTGAAGAAAAAAATGGTCATAGTGTGAAAAAATATCGAGAAAACTCAGGGGCCACTGGCATGAAAATAGGTATTGACCTAGTTATTTGAAAATGAAATTTAACATAAGAATCATAGGTGTACAATGTGCAATAGGTGGTTTTTCGTTCTTATCAGTGGAATTTTTAGTCATCTGAGTAAAGGTATACCTTAAACAGACCATTTTGTGCATAAATTAAGTGTCTATAACAATTTAAGTAACTTTTGAAACACGATTCTTATTCCTCTTATAAAAGATATATTTATTTTTCTTTTAATTATATATTAACCTGTAACCACTAATTTTTTTTTAATGCAGGCACCAACTCGATAACGGAAACGTTCTATTGGATACAAGGCAGCTACGTCGGCGGCCAATGGGAATACAACGACGGCACACCGATTACGTACTTCCGGTGGGCCCCTAATCACCCTCTAAAGGATGACCTCCTGGCTTTCAACAAAGATAATGGATTTCACGGAACCACGAATACTTACGATGACGTGTATTTCTGTGAAGTCAAACTCTGACCACTACCCATCAAAAACAAGCAGAACTCTAAGCAGTTGATAACTCTAAACATCTATTATATAATTTAATAGTCCCCCCACTTTGGCAACAGCAAGAGGACACTAAATCTCATTTTGTCAGATTTCAGTTTGATGTCTGCCTGTCAACCTGTGTGACACAAAATCTTTAACCTTAGTCATAACTTTTTGTAGTACACATTTACATTTATTTACTTGTAACAAGACCTTTCTAAATACGTGTATACCATGATCTCCAATGATCCATGACCTTGATCTTGAATTTTGTACTTTAAAAATCTTAACATACTACATGTAGTGTTAACTGTAAAAGTAATGTTGAAAGAGAAGAGATTATGATTTCATTGTTCACATATATCACCTGTGGAAAGACATTTCCAAATATACTATGTTTTTTTACTCCATATTGTAACCCAAGTCAACTTGTTTTTGATCCCCTGACCTTGAAGTTTGGCCAATTAAAAAAAAATTATCATTCAATGCTGATAGACCCATTTGCAGGTAAGTTTGGACTTTCAGTAAGGTGTGGCATTCTCGGCGCTGCGTAATTAGCATCTGTCAAATGGCGAATAGATTCTCATTGGTTTAGAAATTAATAATATCAGGAACTTTAAATATTGTTGTTGACAACGATGAGACCACTTAAGCTCCACCTCTTTGCCGGACGAGACAAAGTTATTGGTTATTCCATACACTAATTTGCATTTGCCCGAATTTCTATCGCATGTATATATATTTCAACAATGAAGGAAAGATGTGTAAATTTCAGAAGCTAATTATGTAACGTTGAGAATGCCACGCCTTACTGAAAGTCCAAGCTAAACTGGATATTGTCCTAACTTTTAAACATAAGATTATCTTGTATTTTGACATGTGCATTACCTGTTTCAAGACGTTCTTGAATACACTCTGTTTTAATGTAATGATCTTTCTGTTAAAGTTTTACTTTTATTATGCCCCGCCATGAATATGGCCGGGGCATATAGTGTTTGTCATGTCCGTCTTCCGTCCTTCCGTCTGTCCTTCCGTCACCCTTTGCGTTTAGCTCAGTTCAAAGCTCAGTTTCGAAGAAACTATCCACCACCAAGATATTTTCATCAAGCTTCATATGCTGATAGATATTGATGAGAGCTATGCAACTGCATCATCATTTTTTGACCTTGACCTCACTTTTTTTAAATAAGTGTTTAGCTCAATTTTAAACATACCATTCAAGATGGTGTTACCAAATTTCACATGTTGATATACTGATGAGAGCTAATCAATTTGAGACATTGGCCTTTCCTTGACCTTGACCTCATTTTTTTCCTAATTTACTGTCAAACTTCATAATTATGCTGATACATATTGATGTAAGCAATTCAACTGCATCAGTATTTTGATCTTGACCTTTCACACACACACTTTTTATCAAATTGTGTTTAATTCAGTTTTAAATAAATAAATTGTGTTTAATTCAGTTTTAAATACTAGTAAATCATTTAAGACATTTTTATCATACTTCATATGTTGATACACATTGATGAGACATATTCAACTGCATCAACATTTTTGACCCTGACCTTTCCTTTGACCTCACTTTTCCTAAATCAGAGTCAAACTTCATATGCTGATACATATTGATGTAAGCAATTCAACTGCATCAACAATTTTGACCTTGCTCTTTCATTTGACCTTGACCTCATTTCAGTTTCAAAGAAACCATTCATAATACATTTTTTTCAACTTCATATGCTGATACATACTGATGAGAGCTTTTCAAATGCATCAACATTTTTTGACCTTGACCTTTCCTTTGACCTTGACCTCACCTTTCCTAAATCTGTGTAAAACTTTATATGCTGATACATACTGATGTAAGCAATTCAACTGCATCACTATTCAAGACATTCTGATCAAATTTCATACACTTATACAAATTTTCATGTTGCATCACTAATATGCCTTTGGCGGGGCATTCGTGTCCTATGGACATATTTCTAGTTTCAAGTTGGAAATAACTTTTGAATAAGATATTGTTTTTATACTTTACATGTACACTACATTTGATATATTTAAGGAATAACTGTCTCATTTTTCGATTCAATGATGTGATCAATCGATTGGCTTGCATGATACATGTAATTTGCATAAATGCCGAAAAATATCACGCAAGCCAATCGATTGATCATCGTCATGAAATTGAAAAATAAGACAGTTATTGAATTATTCCTTATATTTACATGGTATTGATTCCTCCAATCTACATGCTAGAAGCCCCGCTTATTGTCTCTATTTGTCCCACCCTGCACGTGATTTTTTATAACCACGCCTATCGATGAACCAATACATTGATGGAGAAATAAAGTACATTAACTATTTGTAATTTTATCTCAAACAAAAACATTGGAAATGTAAATATATATACCGGTATATAACACCTTTCATGAACATCGTCTTTGGCAACGCCTTTTAGGGAAAAAAAACCCAACAATTTTGACTTCATGTCATAACCTTGACCTAGAATCTTTAGATTTCTATATTTAATTCAAATAAGAAATAGGTAACACATCTCTTAAACTTATTTTTAAAAGAAAAGGAAAATCGAGAGGCAATAGATGGATCATTATCCTCATGATTTGACTGATTTGAACATATTTTATTGTAATATAATTACAAAGGGATTGAGCACAAGTACTGAATACTTATAACGCCCTCTCCCTATACATGTAAATTACACATTTATATTGTCACAGTTAAACATGCTATATAAAGTATTCAGAATTTGCAAAAGTAAACAAAATGATGCATTTTGCATATATGTATGAATATATAAAAGTTAAATAAATTCATATATCAATATTGGTACAGTAATTAACAAGGAAATCTACCAGAATGCTTAATAAATGTTTGAACTAAAGAAAAGAGATGTTCGTTCTCTGCAGCACTCAGTGATTCAACCCCCCATAATAAAACGTGTGTATCTAGAATGTGGATTGTATCAAATTGTAAAAAATTATGTAAAAATTCATTCCTGGCGTTCGCATACTTTGGACATACGAAAAAATAATGATATGTGTCCTCAACTTTACCGCACGTGCACAAGGGACTTGATATTAAATTGCATCTATAAAGGTCGTTATTTAATACACAATTATGTCGTAGTCTGGTTTGAAGAACATTGTCTTCTGTTACCGTAATCAAAGTAAGAAGGTGGGGCAGATTTAGTTTTTTTATTACTAATTTTAGATTTGAATTTCGACATTGACTGTAAATTTCGAGTTTCAAGTGGAATGGAGTTATCCTCATAAATCACTTATTTCAAATAAAATATTTTACCATGTAAACCATTAATTTATAGTGTATGTTTGTGCGTGAAGAGAGAGAGAGAGAGAGAGAGAGAGTTCAATACAACTGAATGATTCACATTTTCGTATCAATTTTGACAAGTTAAAAAATATTTTTGAAAATTGCGTAATGAAATGTATTTTATTTTTAAAAATGTATTAAATTTCTATTTACTGACAATAATCAATTTTAAAAATAGAAATGCATCAACAGTAGAGGTTTTACATAGTATAATTGATTTTTGAACGAACAATACAGTAAATTTCTATCTTTTATGAAAGGTTTTAAATAAAGTAATTTTTGCAGTCTTTTAACACTACGTATTTGTTTTGCATGCAAGATGAAATTTTTGTCATTTCGTCACTGGACCCTGGCATAATATTAGCTTCATTTTAATGATAGCTATACTCGCATATATGTACGTATATATGTTGTTCAAAAGAAGATAATTCGAGTATACATATAGATAAAGTTTACTTACCTTATGCAAATTTACGCCCCCCCCCCCAAGAAATACAGCCAGGCATTTTAATTTATGAGCTAGAGAAAAATAAATTCGAGATTTCTAGAGGATGGTAATGAGCTAATAATCTGTATGTAAGAGGCAATAAAGGAACTTGCGCGTACATTTGTCTGCACATCCATGCATAGTACTATAGAGGCAACCCGTATTAAATTTTATCTGAAAAGAAAAAAAAAACTGATATTTCAAGAGATGTTCCTCTATTCACACTATGTGTTACCGTCATGAACAGATGAATGAGAATTTTGTCTGGGTTATTTGTTTAGGATCCGGATCAACGGAGAGAGACGTTTTCTTTACAATATTTGATAATAGATTTTATAAAAGGATGAGGATGTAATTGTAAGGGAGGAAAATACTCATGGTATCTTTTATTCAACTTTTCTGCGCACGCGTACAATAGGGAGGAAGAAGTAAAGTAATATATTTCGTGGGGCATATACTGAAAGAAATACGCACGCTAACTCTCGATTCCCGCCTACATTTTGGAACCATTTCATTCAATATAAATAGCAAGTTGGCCATAAAAGCTTTGTTTAATACAAAGAACAGTTCAATGGTAACTGATAAATTGTCTTAATACCAGCGCGAAACAGTAAATTATCCATAATTCCAGCTTTTGAAAAAAAAGGGGGTAGACGATATTTTCCATTGAAATCGGAGTTTTAAGCATCACCATATTTTGAAATAGTCTTGGATATGATTAAATGTTCCTTATACATGTATCTTTTCTTACGTTTTATGCAAATAAATGAAACATAAAATATAATGTTTCAGTTGTATATCGCTTTGAAATTGATGGAAAATAAGCATTTTTATCGTTTTTTGTCAATAAACGTATGTTCCCCCCGTGTCACACAAAAAGCTTTGGTATGAATTTGTGAAATAACATTCCATATTACCTGTAAAAGGAATTTTTGTGACACGGGGGAAAGATGTTTTAAAAATATTTTCCGTTTTCCGTTGATTTCTATAGTGAAAAACACAAGTTTTACCAAAATTTTAGAGTTAACTCTCTTTGTTTCCCCAATTAAGTAATGTTTTATGAAAATCCATATAATTATCTACAAAAAATATTAAAAATTCATCGAATATGTTAACTTTTGAAAATTGACTTGGAGGTCGGCGGGAAAACAATACTAGGCCATCGTTCGAAGTTCTTATTTTTACTTATATTTTCTCCACAAAAAAAGATTTTTTTAGCCGGTTCTGAAACCTGTAATTTTCTGAAAACTAATACTTTCAGGAATTAAACAAAATTTACACCGGTCATGCAAAAATTCTGCGTTTGTCAATTTTTCCATTTGTGCGTCTTGGTGTCTCTTAAAATAAGATTTCATGAGAACGAGGATCAAATGCGAAAACAAAAAAAAGTCTTTTCCTCATTTCATGCAGAGACAAATAAGACATTGGTCTTATTTCAAATGATTACAAAAGAGAAACCTTAATACATTTTGCACAGTGAATGAAGTTTTAGTTTTACAGTTGCAACTACACATCCGAAAATTTATATTCCTTTCCAGAATAACCCCAACTCTAGTCAGTACCTTCTCAGTCTCTTTTGCGCTTAATATAACGGAAATTTTCTCATCAAATCACTAAGCTGTTAAGACTGCAATCAACATCGAGGCAAAAATGTAAAGAAGGGGAAAGTTTAAGATATTTATTCGATGTGTCATCACAGTGAATTTAAGGCAAATGACGCTATACCCTTAAGTAATGGGTCCAGCAATGTCATGTCTACATAAAAATCAAAACTTATTGTTGCCTATCCACAACAAAAATCCGTCCCTTACAAAATATATTAGCGAATTTGATCAAGTTCACGTCTCCACCCAGTCTGTGTCCAGGATGTCTGCTGAAAGCATATGTGATCAGAAAAAGGGAAGTTTTCAACAAGTCGATTTGGTTGGAGCAATAGAACGCAATGACATAGATGCTGTCGTAGACCTGATCAACAACTATTCGTTAGAAAGCTGGGGTGATGTTTCCAATTATGTGACCAACAACTATAGAATTCACAACCCCATGGAGACTGCTTGTAATTTGGGACGCACAAATATTATTCACATATTCTTTGACAACGGATGCAGCGCTAATCTGCCAACAAGCTCAGGTCGTTTGATTCATACTGTGTGTAAAAATATACAGACCCGAAAAATTAATATAGAAGATGGTCGCAAACTCCTTAAATTGATGTGTCATCAGAATAATTGTAATGTGAATATAAAAGACATCCATCATAAAACACCAATATTGTATGCATGTGAAATTGGAGACAAGGAAATTCTAGAAATCCTGATGTCTGTCTCTGATCCAGAAATCCTTAAATGCAAAGACCTTCCAAATGGATTCACGCCACTCCATATGTCAACCATGAAAAGTGACCTAGAGTGTGTATCAGTTATTCTAAAGCATTTACCAGAGAAAAATTTTATTAACATTCAGGATAATAGGGGCAGAACCCCCCTTCATTTGTCTTTGATTTCAATGTGCAAAACCCTTCAATATATGAATGAAATAGCATTAGATTCATTAGAGTCTGAGAAAACTTTACAGAGAGAACAAATAAGTAAGCTAAAACTTATTCAGGAAAATTCAATTTCTGTTGTAGAACTTCTTTTATTACATGGAAGTGATCCAAATTGCTATTTGCATAATGGAAGACTTTCGCCAGTTCATTCCATTGGTGAAGATATGCCACTTTACCTTGCTATGTCACTGGTTGCAAATGATCAAACAGCAGACTTCCTCTATGGAGATAAATCAAAGTCCTCAACTGCAGTGCAACCTTTCTTGTTTTCCTCAGTGCCAAATAATAATCTAAAGCCTTCCTCTTATTCATCTCTTGTGAGACTTCTTATCTTGTTTGGTGCTAACCCCAAAGAAAGCAAAGATCTATGGTTAACTTCCTTCCAAGATGAACCTTCTGTGAATCCTCTGATAGAGGAGGTGTTTTCTTACATTGAGAACAAAGGTTGTGGTCCCAATAAACTTTTTCAGTTGTGTAAACAAGTGATTAGACTCCATCTGACTAAATCACAGAGTCTCCATAAAATAGATGAGCTTCCCTTACCTACTTCCATGCAAGCATATATAAGATTTCAATTTCTGTAATTTCCCGATCATGACAAGGGGCACAAGACAGGTGTGACCGGTCGGCAGGGGATGAGATCCCACCTCTGATGTTTTGGAGGTCCATATAATATGAATACATTTTTATATCTCGTAACCAGCCTCTATAACCAGGCAGAGCGCATGCGCGCAACAAATTTACATCGAGTTCGGAAAACAGCAGAGAGGAAATTCGGAATATATAACGAAAACTAGTAGTGCTATTCTCAGATGCAGAAATTTATGCATAATTCAATAAAATTTTATTTAAAAAGCCGAAGAATTAATAAGTCGACATTGCAATTAGTTTTTATTTGTTTATTTAATCTTTTATTTATTTATTTATTTATTTATTTATTTATTTATTTATTTATTTATTTATTTATTTATTTATTTTTATTTTTATTAATTGTAATAGATCTAATTATTGATAAACTAAGTAACTTATTTATTCATTAGGAAATTTATTTGTCTGTTTATTTATGAATACATTCTTTTCTTCATTAATTAATTATTCTAATGAGTAATCAATTCTTCTATTTATTTATTATTCATTTATTCTTTTATTTAATTAATAAATTTATAGATTAATTTATTATTTATGTTTTAATTCATTTATATTTTAATTTGTTTGATTATTTGTTTACTTACTTTATATTTTGCTTTATTGTTTATTTATTTATTGGTTTCCTTCTTTATTTATTGGTTTATTTATTATTTCTGATAATTAAAGTAAATGTTTGATTTACTAATAAATAATTTATTTATTTATTTATCTATCATATTTATTCCTTTTTGTTAACATTCTCTTAAAATTAATCAATTAATTAATTTATTTATTTATTATTTTAATTATCTTTTTATTTATTTATTTATTTTTTCATTTACTATAATTTTTTCTCTCTCTCTCCCTCTCTGTTATAGAAAGGGTCTGTTTATGTATTGCTAGGGTTTATGTTCCCATAACCAGGGTTTGTATACCCATCACCGGGGTCTATTTGCACATCACCAGGGTCCATTTTATCTATCACCAGGGTTTATATACCAATCACCAGGGTCTATATTATCTATCACCAGGGTCAATATTATCTATCACCAGGGTCTGTATACCCATTACCAGGGTCTATATACCCATCACCAGGGTCCATATTATCTATCACCGGGATTAATATACCCATCACCAGGGTCTATATTATCTATCACCAGGGTCTGTATACCCATCACCAGGGTCTATATACCCATCACTAGGGTCTGTATTATCTATCACCAGGCTCTGTATACCCATCACCAGGGTCTGTATACCCATCACCAGGATCTGTATACCCATCGCCAGGGTCTATATACCCATAACCAGGGTCTCTATTATCTATCACCAGGGTCTATATACACATCACCAGGGTCCATATTATCTATCACCAGGGTTTATATACCCATCACCAGGGTCTGTATACCCATCATCAGGGTCTATATACCCATCATCAGGGTCTGTATATCAATCACCAGGGTCTATATACCCAGCATCAGGGTCTGTATACCCATCACCAGGGTCTTTATACCCATCACCAGGGTTTGTATACCCATCACCAGGGTCTATATACCCATAACCAGGGTCTCTATTATCTATCACCAGGGTCTGTATACACATCACCAGGGTCTGTATATCAATCACCAGGGTCTATATACCCATCACCAGGGTCTGTATACCCATCACCAGGGTCTTTATACCCATCACCAGGGTCTATATACCCATCACCAGGGTCTATATACCCATCACCAGGGTTTGTATACCCATCACCAGGGTCTATATACCCATCACCAGGGTCTGTATACCCATCACCAGGGTCTGTATACCCATCACCAGGGTCTATATACCCATCACCAGCGTCCATATTATCTATCATCAGGGTTTATATACCCATCAACTGGGTCTATATACCCAACACTAGGGTCTATTATCTATCACCAGGGTCTGTATATCCATCACCAGGGTCTATATACCCATCACCAGGGTTTGTATTATCTTTCACCAGGGTCTGTTTACCAATCACCAGGGTCCATATTATCTATCACCAGGGTTTATATACCCATCACCAGGGTCTATATACCCATCACCAGGGTCTATATACCCATCACCAGGGTCTGTATACCCATCACCAGGGTCTATATATATGCACATCACCAGGGTCTATATACCCATCACCAGGGTCTGTATACCCATCACCAGGGTCTATATACCCATCACCAGGGTTTGTATACCCATCACCATGGTCTGTATACCCATCACCAGGGTCTATATACCCATCACCAGGGTCTATATACCAGGGTCTGTATACCCATCATCAGGGTCTATATACCCATCACCAGGGTCTGTATACCCATCACCAGGGTCTATATATACATCACCAGGGTCCATATTATCTATCACCAGGGTTTATATACCCATCACCAGGGTCTATTTTATCTATCACCAGGGTCTGTATATCCATCATCAGGGCCTATATATCACCAGGGGTTTTATCTATCACCAGGGTCTGTATACCCATCACCAGGGTCTATATACCCATCACCAGGGTCTATACACCCATCACCAGGGTCTGTATACCCATCACCAGGCTCTGTATACCCATCACTGGGGTCTATATACCCATCACCAGGGTCTATATACCCATAACCAGGGTGTTTTTTATCTATTACCAGGGTCTGTATACCCATCACCAGGATCTGTATATCAATCACCAGGGTCTATATACCCATCATCAGGTTCTGTAATCCCATCACCAGGGTCTTTATACCCATCACCAGGGTTTGTATACCCATCACCAGGGTCTATATTCTCTATCACCAGGGTCTGTATACCCATCACCAGGGTCTATATACCCATCACCAGGGTCCATATCATCTATCACCAGGGTCCATATTATCTATCATCAGGGTTTAAATACCGATCACCAGGGTCTTTATACCCATCACCAGGGTCTATTATCTATCACCAGGGTCTGTATATCCATCACCAGGGTCTATATACCCATCACCAGGGTTTGTATTATCTTTCACCAGGGTCTGTATACCCATCACCAGGGTCCATATTATCTATCACCAGGGTTTATATACCCATCACCAGGGTCTATATACCCATCACCAGGGTCTGTATACCCATCACCAGGGTCTATATTCACATCACCAGGGTCCATATTATCTATCCCCAAGGTTTATATACCCATCACCAGGGTCTATATCATCTATCACCATGGTCTGTATACCCATCACCAGGGTCTATATACCTATCACTATGGTCTCTATTATCTATCACCAGGGTCTGTATACCCATCATCAGGGTCTATATACCCATCACCAGGGTCTGTATACCCATCACCAGGGTCTGTATACCCATCACCAGGGTCTATACACACATCACCAGGGTCCATATTATCTATCACCAGGGTTTATATACCCATCACCAGGGTCTATATTATCTATCACCAGGGTCTGTATACCTATCATCAGGGTCTATATACCAGTCACCAGGGTCTGTATTATCTATCACCAGGGTCTGTATACCCATCACCAGGGTCTATTTACCCATCACCAGAGTCTGTATACCATCACCAGGGTCTATATACCCATCATCAGGGTCTATATTATCTATCACTAGGGTCTGTACACCCATCACCAGGGTCTATATACTCATCATCAGGGTCTGTATTATCTAACACCAAGGTTTATTTACCCATCACCAGGGTCTATATTCTCTATCACCAGGGTCTGTATACCCATCACCAGGGTCAGTATACCCATCACCAGGGTCTGTATACCCATCACCATCACCAGGGTCTGTATTATCTATCACCAGGCTCTGTATACCCATCACCAGGGTCCATATACCCATCACCAGGGTCTGTATACCCATCACCAGAACCTATATATTAATCACCAAGGTCTATATACCGATCACCTATTTCTCGTTATCAACAAGGATCTATCACCAACAGTCTGTATTTATATAGGTTTGGTTTTGATATCACCAAGAGTATGTGCATCGCAGAGGGTCTTTCAAGGGTCTCAGTATCAACAAGGGGAAAATGACTCTATGTATCACTCAGGGTCTTTATCACTAAGGCCTTATGTATAACTAAGATTACGGTATCACCAAGGGTATGTGTATCATTAAGGGTCTGTGTACTACCACTAAAGGTGTCTATCACCAACAGTCTATGTATCACCAAGGGTATATTTATTACCAAGGGTTTGTGCATCATAAAGTGTCTGTCAATAACCAGTGATCTGTGTTTCAACAAGGGTTTCTATCACCAGGGGTATGTATCATCAAGGGGCTATTTATCACCTAGGGTCTGTTTCAACAAGGGTAAATGTATCTCCAAGGGTCTATGTATCACCAAGATAATGTGTATCACGAAGGGTAAATGTATCTCCAAGGGTCTATGTATCACCAAGATTATGTGTATCACTGAGATTATGTGTATCACCAAGGGAACGTGTATCATAAAGGGTCTGTGTTCTACCAGGGGTCTATGTATCACCAAGTGTCTATGTATCACCAGTGGTCTATGTGTCGTCAAGGGTCTTTTTGTCACCAAGGGTATGTGTATTACCTAGGGTCTGTGTATCACGAAGTGTCGGTGTATCAACTAGGGTCTCTGTATCACCAAGGGTATGTGTATCACCTAGGGTCTGTCTATTACTAGTGGTCTTTGTATCACCAAAGGTCTGTGTATCACCTAGGACTTGTGTATCACCAGTGGTCTATGTTTCACCAAGGGTTTATATATCACCTGGAGTCTGTATCAACAAGGATAAGTTTACTTTGGGTATGTATGTCACCAGGGGTCTATATTACCAAGGATATGTATATCACCAAGGGTTTGTGAATTATACTGAAGGTCTGTGTATCACCAAGGGTATATATTGTATCACCTAGGGTCTGTGTATCAACTAGGGTCTGTGTATCACCAAAGGTCTATGTATCACTTAGGGTCTGTGTATCA